TCTTCCCCTCTTTAAACCTCACCTGTAAAGTGAGGATAAAAATAGTCCCTACTTCCTAGTTGTTTTGTGGAACAAAGGAGGAAAGGGGTGTAAAGCAGTTAGTCTATCTGGTAAACATCAAGAAATAGTAATTATCTTCAGTGTAGGCCCCTTTCCTTCTGCTTCTCCAAGACCTTAGGACATGTATCTCCATCACTTATGGAGCACAAATCATGTATGCTGTTTCCTGAGTACAGGTCTTGCCACTTCAGTTCCATTGTACATTTCTCAAGTGCCAGACTGTCTCTTCTACTCATTTGTTTTACTCAGAACGCTTAGCACAGTCCTGAGTTCAAAACAAACACTTGGACTGAATGGAGACTGTGTCAGGTATGGTCACACCAACCACCGCTAGATAGAGGGGTCTCATTTGAGACTATATTTTAAGGGGAAGTTTATTAATTTAGGGAGTGTCCATGGGAAGTTAACCAGAATAAGGAGAGTTCTAGAAACCAAGTCCTATGGTTGAGGGCCTACTGTTATTTCATCTAGATCCGTGGTTGGCAACTGCAGATGGTGGACCAAATCCCACCCATGGGCTGTTTATACTGTGGCCAGTAAACTAAAAATGGCTTTCATGTGTTTAAAGTGTTGTAAAATAAAATAAATACAATATGCAGCGGAGAGCACCATGCCTTGAGAGTCTAAAATATTTACTATCTGGCCCTTTCCTATAACCTCTGATGTAGAAAAGAAGAATTTGGGAGGGAGAGTAAATAACTTTCTTCAAGGTACATTTCACTTATTTATTCATTCTTATTTTTCATAAGCACCAGTGATGTACAAGGGACCATGCGCAGTGCTGTGGGAAGCACAAAATAAGAGAAGATTCCTTTCCACTATTAGGGGTGAGCATCATTAGAATTTAAATACATCCTTGTCCTCAAGGAGTTTATAATCTAGTGGGGTGATTAGAAAGGTCGATAAGCATTGTCATGAAGAAAGATCAGAATGATTCTGTGAATTAATAGAAAAATAGAATTGGAATGAATGACTAGACGTTGCAGGAAGGCTAATTTCACTACAAGTCAAAGAAAAACTTAAAATAATGAGGTTAGTTTTTAAAAAGATGGAATGAACTGCAAGATGGTGAGCCGCCCATCTTTCCTGGAAGCATTCAGGAAGCATCCTTGTTATGGATTCCAGGAGTTTGAGCCTCGTTGGATTAGAACAAAGAGCTGGGCTGATCCTTCCTATACATCAGAGGCCAAGCTAACGTTTGAATTTAAACCAAGTGTCTGTGGCCTGAGTGTGGCCCCGTATACTGAGACTTCCCTTTACTATTTAAATGATGTGTCTTGGACCCCATCCACTTACTGTGGAACCCCAATATCCTGAGCTTTCTCTGGGCCTTCATTTCTCCCAGTCACCTCTTCCTGCATTTTCCTGGTTGCCACTGACCCCTGGATGGAAGAGCTGTGCCTTCCCATCCTCAGGCCGCAGCAATTCTTGGTCTGCACTACTTCACAGTGGGTTGGCCAAGCACCCACTCCTCTATTCTCCCCGGAAGACTGCTAACATAGGCTCCCCTGTGCTTACTGAAGGTCTGAGAGCCTGGGGCGAGATTACAGCACAGCCTAAAAGAGATGATGACAAAACTGAAATTCTAGACACGACGGTGCTAAACATCCACATCGTACCATAAGGTATCTTAGCCAGGTCTTTTCCACCCTCCACTGTCCCTCCACTGTTCCAGGCACTCCCCTCCTCTCTCTCTCTCTGCTTGGACTCTGGAGTACTTCAGCCTTTTGTCTCAGGCTCATCAAATACAAAGTTCCACTTTCTTTTATCATGCTCAGCGAGTCAACCTCTTGCGGAACTGCACATCCTAAATTTGTCCAGGGGCTCTAGGTTGTCTCATCCAAAGACTATTTAAGGAATTTTCTTGAACAATGGAACTGGCTACCTAGAGACGCTGCTCCCCTGTAGGTGTCAGTGATAGGTTCTCTGTCCACGCCCAACTCTCCCCAATCAACAAATAGCAGACTTTCCAATTAAGCCCAAAGGCCTTTCCTTTATTTACACCTGAAGGGGAGTGACTCATTCCCAGGTGGGCTCTGGCGTGTAGGTCCCAGGATGCATCCCACAAGATGCACACGTCTTTCCCCTTAGCAAAGTCGGGGGCTTTGGGGACTAAAAGTCATAGATAATGTGCTTTTATTTCTTTGCGAGGAGACAAGAAAATGTTCTCATGAGAGAAGTCAAAACCCAGAAAAATATGGAAATTCTGCCCTAGAGACTCTGAGCATTTTCTTCTGGAGGGTGGTGTTTTTGTTCTGTTCCCACACCTTCACATTTTCAGTTCTCCACACTCGGGCCATTTAGTTAGATCAAGTAAAGTCAATGAGAGAGGGAGGCCCAGGAACCCTCAGGGTGGAGCTGGGTAACCATCCAGCCCTGAAAGTCAGCCCGGGCTTGCCTGCCCAGGGTCTAAAGGAAATCAGGCCGTGAGACCATAAGGAGTGGAATTTATTCCTCCTTTTTATTTGTTTTTGTAAGACTGGCAGGAGTTTATCAGCTGCAGTTTGGCACCCTTTGCCCTGAGCTTTTGAAGACAAAGAGTCGGAGAATGAAGGAGTTGAGGATAAGTGAATGAGGCTCCCAGGAGGTGGAGCCAAAGGGATAAGAAAAGGAGGCCCTGGTGGCCTGTTTTTATCTGTCAAGCAGGAATGCTCCAGAAGGCTTGCGTTTGCATAGGTTGTGCCAGCAGGGTTGGCCCTACAAGGAAGAGAGGACTGGGGGCCACTGAATTAGTCAGAGGTCCCCAGGCTGCTCCTCCTCAGTCGCCATGTGGCAGAGACTCAAAGGGTGGAGTCCTCTCTCCTCTGGAAAATATCTGATAAAATTCTTTTCCCTTTTCTTTCTTTTTTCTCCCCCCTCTTACATGTGGCCCCAGACAGGATATGGGTGTGGGGTCTGCAGGCACAGAAGGACTCAAAGGAAGAAGAGGAATGTGAAGGGGTGGGACTGGCCACGGAGGGCTTGAGGGAAACCCTGAGCCTGACAAAGGGGGTTCCTCTTCCCAGCTGGTGTGGCAATGCCTCTCACCGCCACCCAGAGCCACTCCATTTCCAACAAAGAAAGTCTACTTTAGGTTGGCTGCTATGCCCGTCCCCATGCCAACTTCTTCCAGGGACGGGAAAAAGAACTTCTCAGAACAAAGATCTGTGCCCGGGTGATGAGAAAGCCACAGCACCCCTTGCTGCTCTAAATGTCACAGTAATAATAGCCCAGAATTTCTGCAACGCCCCGTTGTTAGCATTTTGAGGCGCAGTCACTCATTTCATGGACTCCACAATATATCCCCAGGACAGAAAACGACTCCGAGTCTTAAAACAACAACACACCCTAGAAAGTTCTCAAGAAAGGCATAGAGGTGCCAAACCGGCCCGCGCAATCTGGCCAGATTGAGGATCGGGACGCATGCCCCATCCCTCACCCCCAGACTGAAATTCTCCACAGGTCAGCCTGAGGTTTTGAAGAGGTTAAGTTGCTCCCCCCACCTCCACTGCTGCAGGCGAGACTGAGCCCGGACAGCTGAGGAAATAAGCGAAGGGTGGGCCCAGGACCAGGTCATCATCACAAGCTGTGGAGTCAAAGCAGAGGAGCATCTGATCTGAATCAGAGCCTCTGATCAGCTCACCCCGGGGGATCCCCTCGCTAGGGCTTGCACACCTCAGGGACAGCGTTTTCCCTGCCCCAAAGGGCAAGTCTGGGGCTGCCAAACAGGTCAACCCAGAGCCTAACTTAGAGCTTCCTCCAGCCCAGAATGAGTGGCTCTCCAACTGGGTGGACCCAGAAAGGGACCACAATGGAGGCTGAGAGCAGGGCCCAGCTGGCTGGCCCAGACCACTCTGTGGGGCCCTGCTGGCTGGCCTTTGGGAAGAGTAGAGAATTGGGAGCCCTGGGAGCCGAATCTTGAGCAAAAGGGAGAACAAGTTACAATGTTTAAAACCTTCTAAGTGCAATGAAATGAGATAGAGAATGCTATCCCCAAATGAAAGGAATATTTACGGAGCGCCCTATAGTGTGGGGGTTTGTTTGTGTGTTTTTAAGGAAATTGAGAGCAAGAACTTAAGAAATCAGAGCATTATGGACGAGGAGAAGCGTCCACTAGTCTTCTGACCTGTCCACTAGTTTTAGAAGTTGGAGGAGGCAGGCAGGGAAGGAAAATCCCCAAACCTAACAATCCTGAGCTGGTGCCTGAGGGAGGAGTTGTGGTGGGAGAGGGAGGCAGCCGGGAGAACAAACTCCATCCACCACCACCTTCCCCGCAGTGGAATGGGTGTGGGTGTCGGAAGAGCGAGTTGTAACTTCATTTTGCGATCCGATGCAAGGATTTTCGCACGGGTTGTTCTCCATTCCACACTCCCCTCCTCACCTAACTCAGCCTGCCTTCTGGGCCTCCTGCGCTGCGCCCGCGGCCTCGTCCCAGGTGGCTTTGCTCCCTTTCCTTCAACGTCTAATTCTGGCTCCCCCCTGTCCCAGGGCTGGGTGGGCGCCTGGCCCCCTTCCCCGCGACACGCTCAGGCCCCCAAACTCGGCTGCTTCTCACTCATCAGCCGCAAAACTCGGCTGCTCCTCTCCTCTCCTCCCCTCTCTCCTCTCTTCTCTGCAACTTTGCGCTCCGCACCTTTGGTAACGTGAAGGGGCACCAGCACCTTCAAAGGGCTGCCTATCAGAGGCAACTCCAGCGAGTCGCGCTGTCCCACTGCGGGACGCCTGGGGCTCGCCGCGGGGTAACACCTGGGCTAGTGCACGCTCGCGGCGTGGTCGCCTCCCCTGCCCGTCCCAGCCCCGCCGAGTCACAGGTGAGGGGCTCGCTCCCCGAAGCCTGGAGCGGCCCTGGGCGTGGGGGGCTTGGATGGAGGCAAGGGTCCCTGCCCTCCGCGCAGCGGGCTGAGCGCGCTCGGCCCTCCCCTCCCGGTCCAGCCCGGCGGCCGCGCGCGGCGGGTACTCACGCAGCAGACTCAGCAGGCAGAGCGCGGTCCAGCCCCCCGGCATCCCGCGCCCCGCGCGCGCGCCCCTGCGGCCCAGCATCCTTCCCGCGCGGCTCCCGGGAGATGCACAGAGCCCGAGACTCGGCTCGCTCGCTCGGACGCCCGCCCCTCCTCCCGGGAGCGGGGTGGGCGATTCTTGCTTTTCCCTTCCCCTCCCTCTTTGGTCCTGGCAAGGCCGGCCCCTCTCCTTGGCTGCCACTAACGTGAGCTTCCCTGCGCGGTCCCAGAGGCGGAGGACGTGGGGAGGGAGGCTGGGGTTGCCGCCTTCGAGGCCAAAAAAGGTGGAGGTTTGTGCGGGGCCCCAGATGCCTTGTTCCAGTTTATGTAGAGGCCTCATCTTCAAGCTCACTTCCACTTAACTTTTAACCCCTTTGTGTCAGCCGTGCCGGTGGCCCGGGCAGGAGCAAATTTCCTTTTTTCTTCTTTTTTGGTGTTCTATTCCTTTTTGCTTTTCTTTATTTTAAAGTTTTAAGCCGAGAACAATCTTGCAGAAGGAATCTTCTTTGAGGACCTGAGTTTCCAAGTGTGAGCGTTTTGCTAATCAGGTAAAACTTACCACGTGTAAGTGGGCGCATTTAATGATAGGCGGCTGGAGACTGTGCTGCATGTTAATGAAGCATAATGAGTGCGAAGGACATATAAGTGGCTGCCATTATGCATTTTACCCGTCCAAACCATCCTTGTCCATTTTTCTTTTTCTTTTCATTTTTTCCCCCTGAGAGATCTGTCTATTTGTGCTCATTTAAAGGTTTCTTCCTGGGACCAGCCCTACCATGTTTTCCCACATGGTTAGATCCTGTCACCATCATCACGAAGACAAAGGACTCCCTTAGGGACATGGATGCCTCCTCCAGGCATCCCCTGTCGGGCCCTGGGTCCCAGCCTCAGGGGCTTCATCCTGATCTCCCGTCAGAAATAGGACTTTCCCCGCCTCCCTCCTCTATTATCTGGTTGATCCTGGAGCTCCCTGTTCCTCCCCAGTCGTCCAGGATGTTGGTAAACTGAACTGCAGAAACTGCGCTGGGCAGGCAGCCTAGTCACAGATTGGGCTGGGAGGTGAGGCTGGAGGAGAGAGGAGCCAGGAGGAGCAGATGACGCCAGCAGGGAGGGGACAAGATAAGGCGCAGTCTGGGAGAACATGCTCTGAGGTCCTGAGTGGAATCGTAGGATTAGCAACACCCAGTCTAGTCTCTTTCATGTTGTCTGCACCACGGAGCCCGGAGGGGGAGAAAGGAAGCCAGGCCGGCACCCTCTGATCCTTCCTGATTTACTTGTCTGCAGACCCCCTCGCGGTATGAAAGTGGGTTTATCTTTATGGTCCTCCTCTGGCCTACGATAAATTCGGTGTTTGCACAGGAGAAGGGTGTCCGGGTCCACAAACAAACCCCAGGCTCCCTCTTCTGATCTGATTCCTCAATTTTCCTTTAAATAGGAAGCAGAGACTTTAATCACACAATAAAGCCAAAGGCTTACGATGCACATTTGAGAAAACACAATGGTATGGTCTGAATGTGTTTCAATGGTGATTCCAATCTGACCACATTGTGATCTCAAGGGCCTGCAGCTGGGGGGCCGAAAGAGCTGCAAAATACATTTTTAAATCAGGCCTTTGTAATTGGGGACTCCCAATTTAGCCCCCCCCCCCCACTCCAACACACACACACACACACACACACACACCCCTCAGCTCCAGGAGCTGGGCCTGCTTCACAATGAAAACCAGTTCGGCCCACTTGGCTCTTCCTTCATTCTCAGTCATTTCTTATGCTTACTTCAAATGCCGTTTGTCTCCCTGGCTGGACCAAGGGAAGCAGGAACGAACTTGTCTCTAGCTCCCGAATTTCTGAACTAGCTTTGGGAGCAAAGGGCACAGAGAATGATCCTACTGAGCGGAACTTCTCGGATCATGGCAGGCACAGAACCAAGGGGACATTCCAGAATTTGCACTTTTAATAGGCACACTCTGTGATTCCTATGCACACGGGTGTTTCAGAAGCCCTGGCCCAGAAAGAAGACATGCTAGGTATGAAGTGGAGAGCAGACTTCAGGGAGGGAAAATAGCAGTGGGGGATGGGAGGCTGACAAATCCCTTCCTCTAAGAACTAGAGCTGTTCTTCGCTGGCCTGCAAGGCTATGGGTGACACCAGAACGATGACACTGGGTGATTGCTGGCTACTCTGTCCATTTTCTAGGGTGCCTGAGACTCCTCACTCTAAGCACATACAACCTACCAGCAACTGAGTCAGGATAGTAAGAAGCCAGGCAAATCCCTTGGCCAGTGGAATGGGGAAACTGAGACAGAGGGCTGATTCAAACTGACCTTATCCAGCACCCTCACTCACCTGCCTCCGTCAACCTTGCACAGCCACTCCCTTAAGCATTAAGCCCTCAGGACAATGAGGTTCTGATCAGCATCAAGTAATCTGAGGAACAAAGCCTTGATTCTGTTGACCACAGAGACAGAATTTTGGTCAAACTAGAGATAACATCTAGTCCTCAGTTGTGTTTCAGCTCCAGGCCCAGAAAAGCAGCAAAATCAGACAAAGTGATGCCCTGGCTGACATCAGGACCAGATGCAATGACCAATGACCCCCTACCCTAGCACCGACCAATTAGTAGAGACCATGACCCTAAAAGGACATATCTGGAAAGCCGATTAATATTCTATTGAGAACCACCCTCCTCCCCAGACCTCCTAAAATTCCTGCCTTTAAAAAACAGGTTAAAAACTCTTTAGACAAAGGACCGGTGGGTACTCTCTCTAGAGCATGCCCACACCTTCCTTCCTCAGTTGTGTATCTTTGCTTTCTGTCTCCTAATCTCTAACGGTCCTTCTTTTGACTCTGTAAGTTGTCTCCTGCGGCCACGCAGCCCAGCTGGCTCACTTCTTCTGCCTCTGTGACTCTCTCTAAAAGGCCAAGGCAGTTCTCTGAGCAGCGCACTCGACTCTTCTCTTTTGAGTGTACTTTGTTTTGCATGCTAAATAAACTTCCTCTAGTGCTAGAATTCCTGGCTCTGAATACTTTCCTTACTGAACTCAAGAACTGAGAGCCAACATTGCTGGTAACACAACCACCCACGAACTCAGGTTTTGGCCACTGGACATAAGTCCACCCTGGGACTCCAGCCTTATGTTTCCTCATAGGCCATATAGAGTTGAATGAGCAAGTCTCTTCAAAGCTCTAGCCTTTCTTGGCTGATCCTCAAAGTCTCTGCTTTCCTACTTCATTACATAAGCTGTTGCCAGAATAAGATGTTAACAACACTGCACATAGTGGATGGTACAACAGGAATATATAGAGTCAGAGGTTCTTTCAGGCTCTTAGAGACCTCCAGGTCATGACCACCCTTACCATGGAACATCCCTCCACCCCAACTCCGACATACACACACGTCATATGGATCAATTTTAAATAGACCCTCACCCCATGTGAAATATAACTTCTTTGATGTAAAGCACATTAAGGGAAATGATTTAAAAATTTTTTGAGCTTTAAAATATATTTTTTCATTTTGTTCTTATAATTCAGACTTTATTGCATTTATATAAAACCGTTAAAGAGTTGAATTGCAGTTTACAAGTTGGCTAAGTTTACCTTTTGTAAGCATTTAATAAAACTTTTGTTCATTCTGATTTTTCAAGTTCATGTTTTGGAACCAACACCTTTTTCCCCATGTTGCAAACTTGTTTGGGGTCTTTGAAAGCTCTCAGGATTTGGAGCCCAGTTTGGCAGGGGGGGGTCTTTGGCGGCAGAGACGTTCAGATGCTAGAGGGAGTCAAGGAGAACTTGAAGTTAGAAGTGAGTCCCTTCTTTTCTCTTCCTGCCTTCCAATTCCTCTCCAGTGCCTCCTCTTGCCAGAACCAGCTGACAAAAGAGTCTGGGAAATACGGCAGGTAGGTTCCCAGTAACAGTGTCCTGTGGGAAATTAGCTCTATGCAGTGGTAGTCTCCAACTACACTATAGGCAGGCTATAGAGGCCACGGACCAAGAAGGCTCCGACGAAAACATGCTGATCAGATCACAAAAGTGATTGCTTCTTTTTATTTTTTAAAAAAATATTTTTATTGATTTCAGAAAGGAAGGGAGTGGGAAAGAGAGAGAGAAACAATAGTGATGAGAGAGAATCATTGATTGGCTGCCTCCTCATACCCGGCCCTGGGGGATTAAGCTCACAACCTGGGCATGTGCCCTGACCGGGAATCAAACTGTGACCTCCTGGTTCATAGGTCCCCGCTCAACCACTGAGCCACACCAGCTGGGCTATTGCGTCTTTTTAAAACACACAGTCAGAACCAAGAGGAAAGAGTTGCAGTAGGTTAACCTATTTGGGAAAGGTGCAAGCAAGGTGAAAGGACCGCAATATCTGAATCATGTTATGCTCCGACAGTGTCGTCATGAGGACAGGACTGAGGTTAAATAAGGATCAGTAGATGGATGATGCTTGGAACCAACATATACTTGCTCTATTGCAGTGGTTGCCCACCGGTGGTCTGAGGACCACTGATGGTCCCTGAGGTCCGAAAGATTGGCAACCGCTGCTCTATTGGGAGACATGAGGGCAAGTGGCCTGGCCACAGGTCTGCTCATACAGCTCATGAGTGTTCTGGGCAGCCATCCCTTTTGATCAGCATTTCTGGGACAGAGCATACAAAGGCCAGAACAGTGTCACCGCTACATAGAAAACTTAGAAATGATCTGGCTGTCAGCCTTGAGGTGGCATGCACTGTTCCTTATGACTTGATTTTCCTATTCTTTTCTACCTGTAAGGAACACTCTTGTTGGCTCCATTCTTTTTATAATATACTAGAGGCCCAATGCATGCAATTCTGCAGGAATAGGCTTCCCTTCCCTGGGCTGCCGGCACCCTGGACCCAGGGCCTCCCTCGTAGGAGGGAGGCACCACCCACCTGTCATTGGCGTCGGCCTCCCTCTGCGAGGCGATCATGGGGCAATGGCCAGCTCCCAACCAATCGCATCGCACCTGCCTTGGCTGGTCTGGTGCCAGTGGGTGTCATAGCGTGGTCCCGGATGGTCGTTCCGCTGTTCGGCCGTTCGGTCTATTTGCATATTACGCTTTTATTATATAGGATTCCACTTACTCTATTCTGACATGTCTCACAGATTACAAACTTACTACCTATTTTCAGCACATCTAACTTCTGCCTGTGTCTTACAAACGACTTGCTTATTTACTATCCACAGTTAGCACACCTGGTGAATTTCATCCATCCTATTTGCTTTTCTTGTCCCCTGTAGCAGAATTGAATATTCTCACACAACAAAGCAAACACACATTATACCCAGCATTTAGTGAAGAGTATAAAAGTGTGGGGCAGGAACCGAGATCCAGTTTCATATCTTTTT